CGCAGAAATGATAGGAAAATTACATTCTCCACCGCACGTACTCACAAGCAACATGGACGTGCGCGCGATTTTTCATCAGCCGACGCCGTCTCTCCGCTTCTTTTTCCGAGAAAATTCAATTAATTAAACGTTGCTCTCTCGGTTCTCTTTCTCTGCTCTTTCGCTTCAATACACACACTCGGCCAATTTTAATCAATCACAAAACAGCTTCTGCGAATGCGAAAAAATATACAAATAAAATGAGCGGCTTTTTATCTGTCGGCGAACAGCAGCACTTCCTTCTTTATCTGCAGTCCCGCATCGCGCCTTATCGCGAGCTGCTTTTGCATCGGCGACAAATTTATTTGCCCACCGCAGCGTTTGCCGATGAAAAGAGTGGCTGAAAATAAATATAAACACGCATGACTTTCCATGCCCGGTGCGGCTTAGCGGTTTGAATAATGGCATTTGGATTTATTGCTCTGTCCCGCAGTAATGCATGCGTTCTGTTGACCCAACACAGACATCAAATCGCGGGTCCGGGAGGTCCCCGAGAGAGCAAATCTAGTTTCTGTGCGTGAACTTAGAGAAGAGAAATTTGATCCGGGAGGTCAAATGGGCATTTTGCGCAAAATAGTTTCGTCGTGCTGGAATTTGGAAATTCTAGAGAGTGAGCAGCCATTGTTCTATTCATAGAGCAGAGCGTAATTTTTTGGTGTTTGGATAATAAAAAGCCCGACCTGAATTCTAATGCCTATATAAAATTAACTGTATTATAGGCATTTAATTTTATTTGCCGGTTTTTTTATATTCTTACAGTTAGCAATTGTACTGTGGTCGTGATTTCGCAATGAAAGATTTCTGGTTTTTAAAGAATATCCGGTAAAATAGGAAATTTTAATGCCAAATTTTGGTATTAGCATAAAAAGATGATTTCTCTCTCATCAAAATTTTTACTTTAAATAAAATCTGCATTTTTCTTAAAATTGAAATAAATGGAAATCATTGCATAAATTTTCCATGCACAAAATGCATATATTATTTTGCTTCATAGTAATTAAAAAAATTATCTGAAAGTATAAACAAATAATAGGCATGAGAAAAAAAATCACATTTAAAGGAAACGCAAATTTTAGGATTAATTATGATTGAAAGGATAATAATGTTGTTAAGTAAAACAAAATTTTTAATTTCGTGATTTTTTTAAAAAAGTTTCAAAAAAATTTAATTTAATTTCACTAAAAAAAAACTCTACCCAGAAAGCTGTCTTACAATAGGTTAAAAATTTAAGAAAAAAGAAACAATCTTATATTATTATTTGAATTTTATATATAGAATGATACGATAAACAAAGATTTGTCGGAATAACGTTCAGAGAGCAAATTCAACAAATTATCAAAAACTCTCAATCATAATCTTCCCCTTTGCCTTTCAAAGTTATTTTATATTGCGTTCATGTTCATGTAGTTCGTATAGAGATTCTTTCAACTACAATTAGGTTTAATATTCAAATAAGAACAACTTGTTTTATTTCACAACCATAAAAATCATGAATAGAATCAACGAAAGCCTCTCAAGTGCATTGTTATAAAAGTAAAAATAATTGACATTTAACTCTGAAGCAGAATGAATCATCAATTAAGAATTGAAAATCAGTCTCAGCAATTACTCTGCGCCGCTCGTGAATTGGTTGGGTTGTCTCTTGTGTTGGGCGAGTTTCACTTTTTAAACACACACTGTCGTTTTCTCGATGCAACCCACGCATCTCCAGTGAAGCAGAAGAGAGGCGCTTGCTCGCTGGTGGCCGAATTTAGTGAGTGTGTTATGCGACTCTTTATCTGCAGCGCGCAGTGGTGACATAGTTACGATGTTTTTATTGACACATGTTGGCTGCTGGACGTGGTCCATTAGGCCCACACAAAGCACTAAATCTACTTGTGTGCAAAGCGCTTCCAAACCTCTTATACCGTTGAAGATATTTTTTAATTTAGACTCGAGAAGATGAAAACATTAAAATTCCATGATGAAATCATTATTGAAGAGATAAATTGGCAAAAACAGGATTTTTTTTAAATGAATCTTTAAAATCGCGTAATTTTGGTCAATTATTATGCGGGAATAAAATAATTTTAATGATAAAAAATTTGTTTTTAGATTTTTGGGGCTATTTAGAGGCATTTTGATGAAAAAAAAATTACTTTTGAATTAGGGTGAGTCTTCTTTAAAAATTGAAATAAGTTTAATACATAGATTTAAAAAAATAATATTTAAATGAATCATAATAAATAACTCTAGAATTTCATACAAATTGAAACCGACAGATTATACTAATTTGCTACGAAAATGCTAAAAATCCTAAAATGACTTACTAAAATGTCAATTTTTTTCCTTGGGAGTTTTTCAACCTAAAAATTTGAATCTGAGAAGTCGCCTTTCTTGGAAAAGGATATTTTCCCCAGTGGCAAAACATCTCCGGAAATAAAATATTGGAAAATTCGAAATTAGAAACCCGTGCAGCTGCCGCGCCGGTCGAAAGTTATGCAGCCCGCGCAACCACTGCAACGTGCAAAAAGCCTAATTACAATAAAAAAGCCATAACTCTGGCGAAGGGACGTGCTTTCCATTTAGAAAATTAAAAGTCCGTTTTGGCAGCGGACCTGAATCGAAAAGCAGCCCGCAGTAGAGAGTTGGCGCAATAAATTATGTCATTTGGAGATTGTCCACGCTCGAAATGTATATAAACAGGGTGGCTAAATAATGTCAGCAGCGGGCACGTCACGAGAATCGGCTGCAGCTGCATTTGAGCAAGAGTAAAACGTCGCGCGGGTTTGCGGTTGCATGGATTTGAATTGAAACCTCGCGCGCAGGTAAAACTAAACAAGGGGCTCGTCCCATTGACTCGGGCATGCACACAACAAAAACCGAATAAGACGAGAGATGCAGCTGACTTCCATATATACATGTTTATGTACGCAGAGCTTTGCTTGTAGATAAACATCGCCGCGGCCAAATCGCATTTATACAATATATAAAATGAAGGGGCGATTTTCTTGTTTTGCTATATACGAAGCCTCTGCGCTGACATTCTAATCCAGTGCCGGCATAAATTGCTTTCTTTGTATGGCCGGGCTGCTCTCCTCTTTATTCGATTCAAAAGTCAAAGGATTAAATTTTCGCGTTCTTCTTTCTCTTGTCGCTTGTCAGATTTTATCTTTTAATAATATTGCAGCAGAGATTATTTTTCGAGCTGCTTCATGTTACACGTCCTGCGCGAATGTGAGAAAATTTTAATTGACGCTTAATTATAAAAGGGCACTCTGTCGGCTGCATGCTGCGGTGCCTGGATAGTTCACACGGGGCGAGCTGCAAAAAGCTTGTTGGCGCAGATCAAGCGAGCAGCTCGCTAGATTATGAAAAAAGGAGCTGCTCTCGCGCGTCTTTTTTGGTTTCCTCGCTCCGTGGGTGGTCCATTAGGCAGTGTAATAAGTGATGTATTGCACTTGCGAATAATTGTTTCAGTTACTCAATCACAGCGTTTTGCGAGATCTTTTTTTTTAATTTTTATTTTTCATTTAAGTAGAGAGTGATAGAATATAGATTTGTATATTAAGTAATTCCTGCGAGCTTTGAAATTTCTTTAATACAACAGAATGAGATTTTTAGGTTTCAGAATATGAAGCGTATATATTATGCTTCTATACAGCTCAATATTTTGACTTGTGACAAAATATCATATTATGTTGAATTAATGAATTAATCAGTAACTAATACACAGCAATACATTATTACAACAGTCAAACTTCTTCGTAACTAAACGCTCCTTTTAGAAGAGTTATCTATAATTTACTGGCTGAACTGGAAGTTTTATAAATACTTCTAGATAAATTTGGATTTATACATACAATTAAAATAGCTTTCAAATTCAAATTAAGCTTTTAAAAACCTCTAAAAAATAATCAATTTAAGAAATTCAAAAAAAATATTTTATAATGTATTGTTTAACCGGTATGAATGTTTTTATTTTTAAATTTTAGCTGAAAATGTTAAAAATTATTATTAATTTTTTTAAGAAGAAATAACTTTTTATCTTGTCATTTTTAATATGCATGCAGGAGGCTGCAAGTTCAACATTAAATCGTAGTAAATATTAATGCGCAAGGAGCATGACTGCGTGATTATGCTTTAGCTATAGTTGTTCGGCTCTCGCTATAGCAAAGAGCAGCAATTTCTCTAATTCACCCCTAACTAACTTATACATCTCTTTGCATTTGCCAGTTTTTTTTTAAATTTTGGTGTACCGTGTGAATGAAGAATAAATTATAAGAATAACTATAATTTTTTTTTAATAATTCGTCATTTACAGACTTCCATTTTTTGTATGCTTATTTTTATCCTGAAATTGGCCGTTTCAAAGGTTGGAATAAGGTTGGAAAAGTTTTTTTCCTTCCCTAAATTTGAGCTCATTTGTAATAAAAATTGGAAAAAGGGCCTTCCATTTTTGTTATTCTCATTACTTGAAACGACGAGCACTCGGTTTAATAAAGCTGATTGAATAAAACCCCCGTCTCATCCCCTTTACACATATGATTGTTGTAGTGCGCCACGCCAAAGTTCACCCTCCGTGCGATAATATACATAAAAGCCTTGGCGTATACGTCGTTCCACTCTCGGCGCTAATTTGTGATTGTGTGCTCGCGCGGCCGAAATTTGCATACGTCACCGTTAATAACAAGTATTGATTACCTCTCCCGGCGGGGCTGTGATGTTTTGATATAAAAATTATTACATCTCGGCGCGCGACGCTCCACCCTTTGCTCCCCTCCGCGGCGTTTAGGCCACGCCCGGCGGCCGAGTCGCGACCCCACCACGGCGCAAGGAGCGCGAAAAAAACCAGGGACGGAAAAATGGGCCGAGTCTCCTAGGATGGCTCGTGTGTAATAAAGCTGTGTGTGTCTCTTAAGCACGGCCGCGTGGAAGGGGGAGCAGGGGACACTTGAGCCGCGCGTCTTTTTGTGTCCGAGTCTTATTTTTTCCCCATCCGCGCGAGCTCTCGAGTGGCTTCCTCTTGCTGCGCCGCCGATTTGAATACAATTTTTCCACATAACCCTAGGCAAACACACTCTCGCGCGGTGGTGGGGTGGCCGTTTTTTGTGGAGGAAGGGGAGTGTGTTTACCGGCGGGACTGCCTGCTTTTGGACAGCTCGAAGATCTCTCACTCATCTCCACTTGAAGCGGCGAGTGAACCTGTCTCGCGCGAAATAAGTGACAGCTCTCGTCCCGCAGTGGCTGTTCGGTGTCCCGGGGCACCATGGCCCTAGAAACGGAGCGCTCGAGCCCCAACAACGCCTCTAGTCCGGGGCCCACCTCGACCAGTTCGCCGTCGTCCTCGTCCTACAAGCCGGCGCTGTCGCCCACCATGGACATCAAGCCGGCCATCATCCACCACCCCATGCCCATCTACCCTTCGACCTTCGCCCTGCAGGCCAGTTCGCGCGGGCGGCGTCCGGCCAGTCCGGCCGAGCCCGCGGCCCCCGAGCAACCCTTGCGCTTCTCCGTCTCCAACATCCTGCGGCCCGAGTTCGGCCGCCGCGCCGTCGAGGAGTGCAGACTGAGGACGCACGTCGACTCCGGACGCAGCAGATCTTCCCGCTGCAGCTCGGTCGACGGCGACTGCCGCAGCTTCACCTCGTCGCCCATCCTGCACCACCGGCCGTGTAGTCCGCCCCCGAGGAAAAGGGTGGCCCTGCACCTGGACGACTCGGACAAACACAGCAACGGCGATGCCAGCAGCGTCTGCAGCTCCAGCAGACCCGCGTCCTCGCTCGAGGAAAAACTCGCCGACCCGCCGGTGCCCAAGGAGCAGACGATGTGGCCCGCGTGGGTTTTCTGCACCCGCTACTCGGACCGACCTTCCTCAGGTAAATATCTCAATAGTATGTTCAATTATAAAACTTAATTTTTTATTTAAAAAATTGCCTATTCATTCGGAGAGCGCGCTTCTTTTTTTTTTAGAGATAAATCCGTTCACTTTTTAAAGGGAGAGGAAATTCGAGGTGCCTCCGTGAGAGGGATCTGCCGCCTTTATCTCGGGAGCTCCTTTAGATTTTTCTCCGTCCGCTAACGATCACACGAAGGCAGCCTCTTTTATTCTTATTATTATATTCGAGGGGATAACGAATTTATTTAAGTTGAAAGGGTCGCATCGATTGAATTTTTATTGAATGTATTTTTCACGTTGATTAACCTGCAATCTTTATCTCGAGCTCATCAGTCCCTTTTTTGGGGGAAATGATCTTTATTTACTCAATCTGATTGATGCTGTCAAAAAACAATGGGTCATTTGCGGGGATCAGGCCCTCAAGAAAATGTTGTGAAATTACAATAGGTCGATTCAATTCAACCTGACAAATGAAAAATCAGAACCCAAAAAACATGCACTTTCTTTAATCAAAGATTTATATTATCAAAAAATTCCTATATAAATTTTTGAAAATAAGTGGCACTTTCTTCTTTTGACAAAATCCGGTATTGAATTTATTTTGGAGCTTTCAACATTTGGTGAAGAGTGGCTTTTTACTAGGCTGATGACTGATGGCACTTCTCGCGGCGTGTTTGTTTGCGCGAGAGAGGCGCACGCACGCTCTCATTTAGCACCAGCCATTCTGTATATATAGGACCGGGCCAGAAGTGTGTTTATTGATGATGTGCACACGCATGCCCATCAAAAAGGTATTGGATGAAAGAGACGCCAGCGACAGAGATTGATCACTCTTGTGCCCGCGATTCATTACCTACAACCAATGCATTTCTCCGATTTCGAGTTCAAAAATGTGGAACACGCGGAGCCGCCAACGTGAATCCCAAAGCAAGTGATTAATTCTTTCTCTCTCTTTGGTTGTGCAAAAAGCGTTTTTAAAATGAAAAAAGAAAAAACATTCCGCCTTGTTAGCAAATTAATTACACATTGTCATGCGCGAATTTAAATTTCTTATTAATCTCTCGTTGCTTTGGCTGGAAAAAAACATTATATGCATACTTTTGACACACAATGGAATTATAATTAGCGACGGATTTATGGCGCATTTGCGTGTGCGGCACTTGAAATCCCTCCCCGTCGGCGAATGGGTTGACATTTTTCAAACGAAACAATTCTTGATGTGCGTAATGACTGAAAAAGCCATTGTGCTGCGAGAAAGGTTAACACCGCCGAGGCAATCAGCATAAAATCAGCTTTTATATACGAGCTCGGCCGGCAGAACTTTAATATCTATATTGATTGGAAATTAATGAGAAAATTTGCCCTGGGGTTTTTAATAATAAAATAAGAAATTCGCATCAAACCGAGGTATTATGACATTAATTTCAACACGCAATCAAAATTGCTTTAAAAAAATATGGCACATCTGCCCCGTCGCACATCACTTTGCCACTCAATGGCCATAATTAACATATAAGAAAAGAGGCTCTGGACAGCTCTCTCGTCTTTCGCTGCTGCTGGGAGGAAACTTCGCGTGAGGTCTAATTTGCGTGCTCTAGAATTAAATTTTCATCATCATATTCCGAGCAACAAAGCTTCAATTCAATCGGCCGCCGCCGCGTTAAGGAGAGAGAAAGAACGGAGAAATAGCACAAAAAGCCCGAAAGGCCGCACGTCTATCATTAACTTTTTTGTTACGGGCGCCAGTGAGGAGAAAAGAAAACCATAAAACGCGTACAAAAGAGCCATTATACATACTCAGAGGACTTACTTTAAGTAATGCTTTTAACGCAGAAATAATTTGAAATCTCTTGAGGATCACTTTTATTTTTGATAAATTTTCAACATTAACTTACAATGAAATCTATTTGGGGAAAAACCAAGAAACCTTATCGTTTGATTCTTCTGTTGACGTATTATTTTGGTAGCATGTGCTAGTGAATACTTGAATTTGTAAATTAAGTATACAATAAATTAATTAACAAATTTTCTTGCGCCAAAGATAAAAAATTAAATTATACAAAATATACAAAAAATAACTAAATTTAATATTTAAAATTCCTATTGTTATTATTTAAAATTTCAATATTTATTTTGCAAAACTTTAATAATGTTATAAAAGAGGCATCGAAGAGTAATATTTTTAATAGTTTTAATTTTTTACCATATACCTTTCAATATCGTAATAAATTTTGAAATTCGAACGATCATTTAACTGACTCATCGTCTTCACTGCGCTGTGGTTTCCGAGCTGCAGGAATGCAGACAGGCGTGTGAAAATCAAAATTAATGGTGTTTTTTGGGCCGAAATTCCTCGGCCGCGAGAATGGCCTCTGCACAGCTTCTCTGAGCTCATTTGAATAAAATGCAAGCTCGGAGACGAAAAGGGCAGTTGCAGCTGGCTGGCGCAGCTTTATTTTTCACTTTCACTTGGGACCAACAACCCCCTGCGCGTGCTGGGATCCATTAACTGCAATTAGGTTTCATTTGAAAAAGCTATAGGAGAGAAAAATATTTTTAATATCCCCACAGGAGCGATACATTTGTTGCTCTTTTATTTGCTAACTATGCGCGCTGCTGGCCAACAGATTAGATAATATATTCAGTGGCTGCAGTGCGCACAGAGGGTGCGAAATAATCAACCCTTAACTTGAGAGCGCTGGGGTGCAAACAACACACCGTGTCTGTAATGAATATAAGAGGGTGCGGAGTAGAGAGAAGTGTATAAATTTTATCTCTCTGGCTGCTGCAGTGTGCGGGTGATAAATACACGCGTTTATTTTATTATTTGGTCTGTGCAGTACTTGTTGTTGGCAAGATTAATAGTTGTGACACCGCCTACAATATTAGAAACACACGTACTCCTCTCTCTCCGTTTACTGTGACTGAATTTTCATTACAAACTATCTGTAAAAGAGAGAAAAGAAAAATCTGCAGCTTTTATAAGGGTTTTTTTATAGGGATTTTATAATAGCAAATAACGAATGAGTATTTTCCAAAGCAGGTAATATCCTAGGCTTTAAAACGTAAAGTTCATAGATACAGTTTTTTTCTGCACAATATGAAAAGTAAAATTATATTTTTGCTCTAAAAGGGGATTTTTGAACAATAAATGTTTTTTTTTTTTTAATTCAAATAATGTCATGCAATTTTTCTTTACAAATAAAAGAACCTTCCAAGAAAATTGGTACTAATAATTAACAATCACTTAAGAAAAGTCTAAAAATTTGGCGAGGAATTCCATTAAAAATTAAAATAGGTTCAAAACAAAAATTTCATTTTCTAACCATATTAAACATTTTTCAATCACAAAATTATCAATATAAAAGCGCCCTATGTGTACAAATTTAGCACAATATCTTAATACTCAAATCTAAAATATGTAATTTACAAATTTTAAAACGTTCTGAAATTTTTGCTCACAGTTACAAAAATTATAATCAATCGTTGAAAACTTCTCATAAAACTGGGCAAAAATATGGGCTGATTATTTAATGAATATATAGTTGGAGTTGCTTTCAAAGTTTTATCAGAATTTTGATGCCCCATAATAAGCTTTGGGAGGCGGTGTATAAATTTAATCTTACATACAATAAAAAAAAAAACAATTATCTCCTGCTGGGTTTTCAAAATAATGTGAAAATGTATATTATTTGTGATAAATTTGCGCGATTTGGCAGCGCACATCACGCAATTGAGGCCATCACATCATGAAATTTATAAAATAATTACACTCGTAATCTTTTTATAAGACCCCTTAATGCGAGTTTTCAAGTTTATCTCGGCGCGGTGTAATTGCGCGCAGTAAGACACACGCGTGTGTACTCTTTTTTTTCACTCTCTCAGCAGTGCCGAAATTATGCTGATGCTCGCAACAAAGCGTTTTGCTCCGTCGTGGATTTAATAATGGGCCGCGCGCATTATTTGATAAATAAAACATCTCTCGCGCCGCCGCCACCGCGCCAATCTCGAGCGTTTTATCTCGGTCCGACCGAGCACGTGTGAAACTTAATTCACGCAGCACTCAACTCGCATTACCGCCGAGGAGATATTTAATGAGATTTGTGGCTCGGCGCGAATAAAATGAGCTGCAAAACGGAGGCTGCGAAAACAATAGTCGGCGCAAATCACATAATGCACGAAATGAGGCAGATTCAAATCTCAATTTATTCCCTCGGCGTATTGTTGTCACAATAATAAGAATAGTAATAAAATCAGTTAATTAAGTGAGAGGTGCTGAATTAATTGTTTTTCATTTTTAATGTTTTAATATTTTCTTTAAGCACGGAGAAAAAAATAATGAATTCAAAATGTTGCAACATTCAATAAGTAGATTTGAAGTGATTTTTATTTAAATTTTGATAGAAATTAAGGATTTAATTAAATTAAAGAATTAAGCAATTTATAAATATCGAGGATAATTAATGTCAATTATTAATTATGATTTGTTGAAGGTCTTTTAATAAATAAAAAATGAGTTAATATCGTTTATAATTAGAGGGTCTTTACTACATAATAATTATAAATAATAATTAAAATCAAACAACATGCAGTTTTAATAAGTTTCCTGTCGCCAAATTAGCAAAATGATATTTTATTAAATGTCACTGTGCATTCACTAGATGCTAAGATTTTCAGTATAATGTAATATAAATTTAAAAAAAAAAAACACTTATATCCGCCAGTTACCATTCTCTGATAAAAGATACCTATTTGTGATCCTCAAATAATTCAGTTAAATAAATATTTTATGTAATTGTATCTTCATAATGTAAGGATGTTTATTTCGACTCTATAAATAAAATTTAAATGAACAAAAATAATATATGTTTAAATAAATTTAAAATATATACTTCAAATAAAAAATATTGATGCACATAAAATGAAATATTGGAAATCGTTAAATTTTCGTATGAATATTTTTATTTATTAAATTACATTGTAATGTTTACCATTAAATAACCCTAACTAAACTTGTCATCTTGCTATGTTCGCAGGTCCGCGTTCGAGACGGATGAAAAAGCGTGAAAAGCGTCCGGACGAGAAGCGTCCACGCACCGCCTTCACTCAGGAGCAGCTGAACAGGCTGAAGCGCGAGTTCGAAGAAAACAGGTACCTGACCGAGCGGCGGCGGCAGCAGCTGGCCGGCGAGCTTGGTCTGCACGAGAACCAAATCAAAATCTGGTTCCAAAACAAGCGGGCCAAAATCAAAAAGACGAACGGCGGCAAAGGCACGCTGGCCCTGCAGCTGATGGCGCAGGGGCTGTACAACCACAGCACCATCCCCGTCGACGAGGAGGAGGAACTGGAGGCGGCTGCGGCCGCCGCCGCGCAGGCGGGGGCCGAGGCGGCCGCCGCCAGGGCGGCCGGCGTCCTTTTCAACCCGCTGGCCCACTGAAAAAAAGAAGCAGTGGAGGAGCATCTCAGTACAAGACTGGTTAGTTTTAAGACAAATTCTCGATAATGGACACTGACTTTGGTGCAAAAGAAGAGAACTTGATGAAAACATATGATTATATTAATTAATGTGTAAAAAAATTAGAGGAGAAAAAGAATAGTTGTTGGAGTTGAGTGTTTTTGTCTTGTGCATGTGCAATATATTCAAAAATAGTAAATCACTATATACTAATATAATCTGTGTTAATTATTCTAAAACAAATTAAATGCGGTAGGGCTTCTTAGATTCGTGAACAATACATAAAATTTATTGCAATCATAGATGGTAGATTGAATGTAAATGTTGCAAAAAAAAAATGTGTACAAAAGTTTGAAATCGACTCCTTTATTCTGTATCTCAGCAGCCTGAAATAATAAAATTGAAATAAATATTTCAAAAAATGTTTTTGCTTTGCAAATTGCCCTATCTCAAAATTAAGTTCGTGCGCTTTTTAAATTCAAAGGATAAATTCACGCTCGTTTTAATATTCATCAATGCGCCACGTTCACAATATTAATGCTAAATAATGCTGCAGTACTAATAAAGTGTACATGTATTACTCGGTACGACTCCTGTGTACATAAAATGATGTGTATTATAATTTATTATATGTATATCGCCTCATAGCATCGTCGGATAATAAAAAATCGATCGTCATGTTACAAACAAGTAGCCTTGTTTCATTTCTTATTAATTGCGAGAAAAACAATCCGCTCTCTGGAAAGCATTTACGCGCGTTGAAAGCAAAGCCAATCGCTATTCTCGCGGCAGGGACACCTAATTACATACAGAAAAAGTCGTAATGATAACTGCAGCAGTAGCCCGCATTCTTTATATGATCTGCATCTGCGCTGAGAGGCAATAAATAATGGGAAAACGATTCGTAACGCTGTTAATGCTCCGACAGATTGCGCCTGCAAAATGCATTCATTTATGAGTATGATTCGAAGAAATTGAAAAAAGTTGGAGCTGCAATTCCAAGGCCCTTATTTGAAATTCAATTCTCAAGCTGAAACTTTTAAATGCTTGAAAAATTCTGATTTTTGTTTTAAACTATCTGTTTAAATGATTTTTACTGTTAACAAATAAAATAGAAGAAAAACCAGTTGGGCAAAATAAGAATAATAAAAATAAAAAAATTAAAAAAATTGGATGGGAGGGTAAGTAAAAATCATGGTCATTCAAGACGAAATGAATTGATTATATATTCTTTTGTTTTAGATCATATTAATTTAATTAGATATTATAAATAAAAATTTAAGTATTGTAATAACGAAAAACCAAAGCAACATATAAATTATTTCAATATAATTATATCAATTACATTCCATGCTCTAGCTTGACAAATTTATTAAAAGTTAAAAATATTTTGTGTGTATGTAATATTGTTACATAAAATCCACTCATTTAAAGAAACTTATAAAAACTTATTTATAAAAAAAATATTTAATAGAATAAAACAAAAAATATAATAATTACAATAAATAAATTGATAAATTTATATTAAAAATAAACAAAACAAATATAAAACTAACATTTTCTTAATTTAAATACAAGCACTTAAATTAAAAATAAAAAATTTATTTAAAACAAAATGCGTCTTAAGCAACCTTTTTAAGTCCCCTCAGGAAATGAACACAGCCTGCACATTTTATCAGTTTTCCCCACATGCTTCCTTATTTAACACATTAACCAAAAAGGTCATTCCAAAGTTATCTAAAAAGCGTCCCATTTCAAAGGAAAATGGAGCAAATTTTGAAATGTCGAGAGAAGCACTTAAATGACACCGGGAGGAAAAGTGTCGTAACGCGTTTAAAAGTGCATTTCACGGGTGGTGCGAGAGATAAAATGCCGGCGCCGGTAGAATATAATTTAAATTGCTGCCGATGGTCAGTCGGCCGACGGAGTGTGAAATAGAATCTGCGTCGTGTTGATGCTAATTAGGAGAGGGTCAACCGCAGTTGGTCGTAATTAGCGATAAAAACGGCGGGTTGGCCGCGCGACGGAATAACTTTGCAGTAATAATGCGTATTAAGTGCTGAGAGATAACGAGACAAAGAGTAGAGTGGTCCGCGGCACAAAGGGGTTTCGGCCGCGCTTGTGTGTGTGGCCATCGTCGCAATGAATGGGAGCACCGCGCGCGCTAATTGCCGGTGGCTGCTTTACATGTGTCTCGAATTATGAGGTGACACTTCAAAGGAGCCGCGACACGCGGATTTATTTTTTGTTTAATTAAGGGATGATGAATGTTGCGTCTGCCAAGTTGGCGCATAAAAATAAACCCCAGCTGCTGACGATTTAACGAGAATCTGCTTCGCAGCATCCGCGTCTTGTATTCGTGTCTCCTCGGAAAGAGAGAAAAAATAATTCTGCAAGCGTATAGAACGAAAGGAAGACCGCCCTCAGCGAGTTGTGCTGCCGGTCATATTTGCTGGCAAATTAGTTCTGAAAATAATAATTACGGCGAACAACACTCCCGGGCAGCTGCGACTGCTCTTGCCGCACAAACAATGTTATAGCTCCCGGATATTTAAGTAGTATCAACAATGATATGCTTGAGTGTAAAACTTATTCAATAAGAATAAAGTGTATAGATATATAAAAAAAATTAACTTTTTATATTGAACATAAGAAAAATTTCATAAAAAATTCAAGCAGAAAATTATATAAAATTTTGATCAATTAAAATTTTTAATTATTATAATAAAATTTTTATAATTTTGTTACATTTTGACGATTTTTGAAAATAATATTTTATCTTATTTTTATTATTGAACATTTAACAATATGAAAGACTTCTAAACGTATTTAAAATTTTTTCAAGCCCATCAACATTTACATAATTTACCAAGGCAGAACCTATATCTTAAGATTCAAAGAGGCTTTTGGATTGAAATAGATTAATGAAAAATTATAATTTTTAAGTAATTTAATTATCTCGTTGAAATTTCTATTATACATGAATTAACAATATTCAGGAAGGAATAAAATAAAGTTTTGAAATTAGCGAGAAATCACCATGTGAAAAATTATTATAAGTTAATTTTCTTGATAGGAAAAAAATTTAAGAGCCCCGCATGCTCTACCGAATGAACTAACTGAGCAAAAGAGGAAACTATAAATTGTTAATATCATGAATCAATCAATATTTTATATTAAAAATTCCCTCTGTAGTTCGTCGCGTAGTCACCGCTTGTTAAATGCTCGGCTATGACTTTCAGCCAGTTTTTCACTAGCTCTGTGTGCCTATTTTTCTCTATTCCAATATTGATTTTTCAGACTTATTCAGCGATAAATAAAACCAATTCAATTGAAATTTCAGCTTCATCTGTTTGTCGATAAAATTAAAATAAAGTCCTAAAGACAGAGAGTCTAACTTTTAATTGTTTATTATACATATTTAGTTTCGCACCCTCACTACACTATTCAAATTAAATCAATTTATTCTTAGAAATTAAAAAATTAACCTGGTATAATGTAATTAAACTTTTAAAAGACAAACATTTAATCCACCTTCTCAACCCTTACAAAATATTGATTTAATTTTTTTATTTTTATTTTCAAGTGAAAATTAATTCAAACTATTTGTTCTGTTTTATTATTTGATGTGCAAAAAAGGTGAAACCAATTTCCTGGCCCCTGCCAGGTTCAATAAAAATATTTGCGGAGGGAGAGCCGAATACCAAATTGATAATGATTTGGCGGCGGTGAGTGAGTGAGTGTGTGTGTGTGTGTGCATGCATATCAGCAGCCACATCGGCGATTATGGCATCAGTCAGTCAGTCAGCTCGGAGGACCACACACGACGGTTGCGCGCGCTGTAAATAGGAGCGGCGCGTCTTATAAGTTAATAGTCGCAGAGACCGCCAGGGAAAGACTTTGTGCAAATTTCTCCTGCCGAGCGAGTGCTTTGTGTTTGCGTTGGTCATACTTGAGATGAGCTGCCTCTGCAATATAAACTTGGTGGTGCACAGACTCCTCTTTTCCGACAGCGGCGAATAATTAATTTGTTCAGCCTTATACTCGCCAGTGTAATTACCTGGAATTTTTGCTCGCTTTTGATGAGCATGAGCGATAGTCCCATTCTTTTAAACCAACCACAAAACTTCTCTTCTGCTGGATTCGCCACGCGGAATTCTTTCCTGCTACCCACAACTCTGTTTGCACAAGGATGTGCTCGCAATTAGCCACTTTTTCAATGTCCAACAGAGAAAATTGATTTCCTCCAAGATAATCATTAAATTATGAAAAAGTAAACATGAAAAAGCTTGTAATTAGACAAAATATTTGTCATTTCCACAGTATAAACTTAGAATTTGAGAGGTTTTTTCCGCACTTTTTTCGATCTAATATAATTAAAAATAAAATCATTTTCTGCGTTAGTATAAAATAGGAGTAAATTTCTTCTATTGCCCTCAATTTTAAAGTGAACAATGATTCTAAAAAATTCTAGCTGAATTATTTGTAGATTTAAGATGTAAAAGTAAATTTGACAAATCTATAAAGATTGGTTGAATGAAATTCGATTAGTTTAGAGAATAGTAACGAATTTTTCTCGATATTTTGAAAATAAGTCCAAATCGACTGTTATTTTGTCAATTGAAGATAATTTTAAAGTTAAATTCACAGTTTTAATATTATAATTATTGAATGATTAAGTTGATACTCTTTGCACAATTTAATTGAACGTTCAAATATTATATGTAATGGAATGACAAAAATGTAGACTATACAAATGATTTTACATAAACAAATTTAAGAATAGTTTGATGATAGACGTTGACATAAATTATATTAATATAAATAATCCAATCTAAAGCAGATCTTAAGATTCCATTACATTTCTGGAGCTCTTAAAAATTACATAGTATAAAAAAATAAAAGTTAAAGAATTTTTAATTGCTGAAATTAATGTATTAAATTTAAAATAAAATTATAGTAAAAAAAAAACGCAAAGTAAATTATTTTTAAATTTTGATAATTAACTTTATTATAAAGTCATACAAATACTAAGAACAATAAAAGATTTATTTTTAAACGGCGTCAGCGCGTTTTGAGCGGATCTAGTTATGCGGAGCTATAATCCTTTCTCTGCAGCAATAGTTTAAGGGAGTTGTCCGTCTTCTTCCGCAAGAGATAAAACGCGCGTGGACGTTTTTATTAGCCCTGCTGGTGCATCAGGCAAGAGCTTTGGTTTCTCTCGTCGTGAAAATTGGCCAGCGTTAACGGCCGCTCAGTCAGTGAAATATGATTTGAATATTAATTAAAAAGAAGTTCGTATTCACGATAGGTGGCGGCTCGCGGAGACAATCGACGTGCGAAACTCATTGGCCTTTTATTCTTTTCTCTCGGCGCGGCCAAGGCTGCCGTGAAATTGATTTACTCGCCGGGTTTCATTTGGGGAAGTCACGTTTGCGGCCAGAGAGGCTCGATAAATTGAAAATTTGTTTTCCGTTTTGCATATTGATTGGCAAAACAAATTAAAAAAATTACAGCCGTAACATTTGGCACAGCAGCAATTGATTGACACCCAGAAATCTTAAACAATAACACCAACAGTTTTTTGTTTTAAGACTTTTAAAAAATCACGTCTGTTTTCGAAAGATCACCTTTTTTAAGTGTGCAATCAAAATTTCACTTTTAATTAAGCCCTTCGTCTCCTTGCGCGCCAATGAAGCT